CAGTGACACCACATTGACGGGCCATCTCATCAGTCACGTAACTAATGTTCGCAGGTTTGTGCTGTTTAATTTTTTCATACAATTCCGCTTTCACACATGAATCGTCAAACGGGATTCCTTTTTCGAACAAACATTGCTGCACGTCACTTTTTCGAGATCCCATAGTCGGTACACGTTCGGCTCGATGACTATGGTAGGAAGCATTATCCATGACGATCACAGCGTTGGGCTCAACTCGCTGAAGCACCCCTTGAAACCAGCTCTCGAAGCAGCTGGCATTCATTTCGTCATGGTAATCACCTCCTTTCTTAGAGACGAAAATCAAGTCACACTCTTCTAAAAAGCCACTATCGCTACCAATATGAGTTACGATCAATCTTTGATCTTTCCCTGACGGTCCACGAAGACCTGTTGACAAACCTTCAATGCTTGCTTGTCGGTTACTCACTACGTTTTTGTCTATCCAGCTTTTTTTAACTGTGTGACCTGCATTTACCCATGTCTCGTCCAAATAATAGATTTTTCTGCTTTGTCGCCTATATTCAATCATTTCGCGTATGTATTTTCGACGCCAGGCGGCTATTTCAGGTCTCTCTATCAATACTGACTTCCGATTACGCGTTTCGTAACGAAAATTAATTTCGTGCAGGGATTTCCTCATTACCTCGACGCTCATTTGGGGTATAATTTCATTTTCCTTGATCGCTGCATGTACAGCCTTGAGGGTTGGTATCTCTTTCCTAAAGAAGAATGAATGTACGGTTCGCCTCAACGCCATTTTGCTATCGTCATCCAATTTAACGGCCTTTCGTCCCTTCAAATTGAACTTTGGATCAGTAGTAGCTCCAGTTTTCTTCTTTTCATGCACCACCCTGCGAATGGTCCACTCTGGAACGCCTGTCATACTTTCACAACGCGCGAGTGCATCTCCCTGCGACATAGTTCTGTTCAGATAATTGAACACGTTGAGGACGATTTCTTTCGCGTCGCTCTTCAGTGCTTTACGAAGCCGTCTACTTGTTCCCTGGCTTTCAGTACTTCCACTCGTGCCATTTGTACTCTCCATGGCTAAGTATAACCAAAACAGTAACCACAGAAACCACAACAATAACAATCACACAACAATTCTTATAAAAACACACAATATGCGATCGCTCAACGAAACACGTTCCAATGCGTTGCCGACGCCTATGAGTCTGCCGGTCGAGGCGCGTCTTTGATTTCATTGGTTCTACCGGCGGAGAACAATCAGCCATTATTTCCATCTCTGTCTGTGCTGTTGACCACCACAAAGCCACAGAAACGACATATGTCATACGCTATACGGCTGTACTGGAAGGAAGCCGGGATCGAGCTCTGATCACGTGTTGATCACGCGTATAAGTCATTACAGTTTTAAATAGTTGTAGTATAGCAGCGTCTTGCTTTCTGTCGAGGTATCTAGAGGGTAACACTACTTCGGGATGCAACAATGTGGTACAGTTTAATGTTTTCAAAACCTCATGCCATAAATGCAAATAAATAATTATTGAAAAAACATGAAATTCGCGATACTATTTGAACAAACCTCGTATGGGTCGTAAAACATATGGAAAGAAATGTAGTTTACCCCAAAACAGGAAAATAAGACTTTCGAGATCTTCCGAGTGGGATCCACGTTTCTTTTTTATAATCTTTCCTTCAATATTGTTTTGATCAAGTATTTACCTTCTGCAAAAGTGGAATATTACGAACTTTCCATAGAAAATCACGGTTATTCTTTTGTCAAGCTATTTGAAGGGTAAACAATGTTTACTGCGCAATTATTAAAAATCATATCAAGAAGTTTAAAAATATCCATAAAAGTTCTATTGCTTTCACTTTACAAGTTAGAATGTAAATTTCCTCGAAAATGCACAAAACAGGTGCTAGTTTTTTAGCGGCAAAATGACATGCCTTTCAATGTTGGTCCACCACTCAAGAATTTTTGAACACAACATCGCCATGACTTTTTAACACCACCCATACGCCACTGCATTGCAGAGGGTGGAAGAGAGTATATATCAATTTTTAGCATAAGTACATTTAAACGATTCCTACTCCAGTAATTGTAAGCACGTATTAGATATACATATTTCACATGTTGCTTATACAGAGTCTCTGGAAAGTTTTGGATCCCCACGACAATTTGTCAACTAATGATGGTAGGAAAAAACTCCAGCAACCAAATGGGCATGTTGAATTTAACCTTGACCATGACCTTCGAAGTAATTTAAGGTCAACCTGATTATTTAAATGATCGCGTAAATGAAAATAGCGGACATTTTTACGATCAAATATGGTCTTGAGCGTTTGAAAATTTTGACCTTGGAATGTCATGGTCAAGCTCAACTCAGGTACGGTAATATAACTAGAAAACCAGTAGTCGTATAGGGAACGTACCGAGACATTTTTTTTCATTATTTTTCCCGGATATCCTTGGACCTAACATTAACCATGAGGACATTTAAGTTCATGTGACGGTCAAGTCGATTTTTGTAGATAGGGAACAATCTTAAGAAAGGACACTAAAGTCAGTTTATCTGGAGATTACACAGTTTTCTGAATTATCAGGAAATTTTTGTAAACTTGTAAACTGTGAAAGTCAAGTTCAAGCTCAAGTTCCAAAAATGATCAAGAACACAAACATGCAAACAAAGTTTTCCCTTTACTTCATTTGCAAGCTCAGAAGTATAGAGTCCTATTAAAAAAAAGATCTGACTTTCAAATAACCTTGAAAGTCATCGCCAAGGTCCAGGGAAAATGATTAAGATAATGTCTGGCTTTCAAATTATATCACCGTACCGAGGTTTGATCTCGACCATAACCTCTTAAGGTTAACATTCAAGGCAATATTTGAAAGTATAGGGTTGTCCAATAGGGACGCAGGACAGTAAACCTCAATTTGACATAGACGCCATCCTTGTTTTCTGTCACCGACATGTCATTTTGTTAGTTGAATGTTTACCATTGATCGCTATAGAGTCGTATTCGATTGAAGACCGCATTAAAGTTATTCAAGAGCACTACAAAAATGGTGCAAAAATAAAAAACACGTTTCGCGCGCTTCGTGAACATTTCGGTCGCAACAACCGACCAAACGAAACAACCATCGGTCGTCTGGTGCATAAATTCGAGGCAACAGGTTCTGTGGCAAATCTGCCAGGCTCTGGCGGGCCAAGGAGCGTTCGCAGACCGGAAAATATTGCTGTTGTGAAGGAGAGTGTGAGAGATGATCCGAAACAATCAACAACGCGTCGATCCCAAGAATTGGGCATTTCGAGAATCAGTTTGCTCCGCATTCTCCACAAGGATTTGAATGTACACGCCTACAAGATCCAATTGATGCAAGAGCTGCGTCGGGCCGACCAATTTTTGGCCGAACGTTCTCAGATTGGCTCCTTGAACACCGCCAAATTGATGCCAATTTTTCATCAAAAATCATGTTCAGCGACGAAGCGCATTTCACTTTGAATGGGACGGCAAACAAGCAAAATTGCCGCATCTTTGCGAACGACATGAGCATCAAGAGCATCAAGAGCAGCCGATGCATCCTCAAAAAGTGACTGTGTGGTGTGCATTGTGGTCAAAAGGCATCATCGGACCTTACTTTTTCGAAAATGCCGCCGGGGACGCCGTTACCGTCAATTCTGAGCGATATCACGTGATGATAGAGGACTATTTTTTGCCGCAACTTGAAGGAATGGATATGGACGATGTTTATTTCCAACAAGACGGTGCAACATGCCACACAACCAACGTCAATATCCATCGATTGCAGTCCTTCTTCGGTGATCGCGTGATTTCGCGCAGAGGAAATGTGCCATGGCCACCAAGTTCGTGCGATTTGACTCCCTTGGACTTCTTTTTATGGGGATATTTGAAAAGCAAAGTCTACGTCAACAAACCAGCCACCCTCCAAGAACCCAAAAGCAACATCATTGCCGAGATAAATGCCATAGAACCGAACATGTTGCAAAATGTCATTGAAAATTTCGACCATCGCGTGGACGTCTGTAAATCCAGTCGTGGTGAACATTTGAGCGATATTATTTTTCATACATAAATGGTATAAATGAACCTTCAAAATAAAGTACCCAATTTGATTTGAATATCAATCTTTCTTGTTTTAATATGCGTTTACTTTCCTGCGTCCGTTTTGGACAACCCCATATAATTTTCCGCTCTTTTTATTTAAAGGGTCAAAATAGGAAGTGCCATTTAAAAAATCAAGCTGACGTTCAAATGACCTTGAAAATCATGGTCAAGGTCCAAACCTAAGGTCATCATTAGGACCCCTATTAATCGCGGGGCTTTGTTTTTTTTCCTACCATTTTTAGTAGGGTTCCGGAATTTTTCTGAAACCTTGTAGATTTTCCGAACAATTGCCTTTAGAATGAATATTTTCAACACATGCGTCGTAGCAATGCCACGAACTTGAATATACCTGCCTCAAGGTCTGACCGATGTCTGTGGCTGGCGAGTGGTGAAGTTAGTCATAGCAACGTTGCCACCTGTAGGGTATTTATAGGTTGCAACATTGTCACATAGGTGGCGACTAGGAACTAATCGTATGTACCAATTTATGTGACTTTAATCCTTTAATTTCTTTGCTATACTTGTTCGTAGCTAACCTTCTTCTTAAACAAGCTCACCTGTGTCGAACATAATCCTTTATGAGTTGATGTCAACGTTGCGTGGAAAATGCAGCCAACATAATTGATGCCATTTGTTTGTGCAAAAAAGTGATATTACGGTAAAAATGGTATCAGTAAAAATTTAGCGATAGTACGCATAAATATTTGTACGATGTTGATCTGACAATGTAAATGTTCATCTTTTCAGTGTCCAAGTTTGTGCTATGATTTCTAAAATGCTACCGAAAAATTTTGAGGTATTTCATACCAGACTGTCCCTATTTTCTTCTTAAAACGGCTTCTTTAACTAGATTAATCAGCGCTTTGTAATATATGTGTACTCACTGTGTCCTAAGTGTAAAAGCAGCAGACGTAATGGAAGAAGGCAGATGAAGACCCTTGATGATCTCCTGCCACAGCTTTTTGTTGATAACATCCACGAGTCCTCCTCGAGCTATCACAAGATTGTACAATTCGTACAGGTCCAGAACTGATTTTGCCATTATTGGCAGCCTGTTTATTGGAGTTCCTGAAACAAAAGAATAGTCTATAAATAAAATAAATTCATAAATGTATTGTGACTCAAAGATGGATGGTAGTGTGAAGGGGGAATAACAATGGAATATTTCAAATAAGTTTCTGAAATGTCCGACATGCGCAATTTTTGGCTGACACCTTAATGATTTTAAACTTTTTGAGTCACTTCATCATTTGTTGCTGTTTTTGGTCTTCCACTTCTGGGATCGTCTTCTATGGATCGACAGCAACAATTCTCTTGAGAATTGTTTTCGACTGATGGCCCTAATTTTATGATACTGCGATACCCTAATTTTAAATTACCCATTTTTTTCCTCACAATATACTCTATTCATTGTAGAAACTGATTATCAAAAGTAACTTCAATTTTACAAATACAGCAGACGCTCGATAACGTAAACACGGGATAATGAAAACTTGCGCTAATGTAAACATAAACTTCGTTCTATAGGATCAAACGGAACGCGCGATAACGTAAACAATGTGTGCGCTCGATAACGTAAACAACTCTCGGCGCACGGAAACAGCGCGACGGTAAAATGCTGAAGCCTCGATGATTTATGTCGAGCGTCGGGGAGTCCCCGATTTATGATGTAGAGTGTAGTGACGAGTCTCGATTTTGTTTAGGCATGCACGATGGTCGTGCCAGGGTTAGAAGGCGACGTGGTGAAAGGAGGAATCCACAGTTTTTTGTTGAAAGACATGTTCATCACACTGTTGGAGTTATGGTTTGGGGTACTATAGCTTATGGTTCCAGGTCACCTTTAATCTTCATCAGAGGTAACATGAACGCGCAGCGTTATATCCACGAAGTTCTAGAACCCCATCTTTTACCCCATCTTGACACGCTGGCAGATCCAACTTTCCAACAAGATAATGCCCGACCACATGTTGCAAGAGTCACAATAGACTTCTTTCAACATAATGATGTCACATTGTTACCATGGCCACCAAGATCTCCCGACTTATCCCCAATTGAGCACGTGTGGGATATGATGGATAGGAGATTGCTCAATTTGCAACGTCCTCCTCAGACTCTAGAAGCACTTCGAGAGGAGTTGGTGGTTGCCTGGAATGAGATACCACAGGAGGACATTCACCACCTTATCAGAAGCATGCCTAGGCGCGTTGGAGAATGCGTAGCACATCAGGGTGCAACCACACATTATTAAAGGTCAAAGGGCTTTAAAGCAGTGCAATCACTTTGAAATTTTTATCATTTACTTATTATGCTTCATTAAGTACTTATACAAAATTTTATTAAAATAAAACCATTTAAACTGGGTGTTCGGATTTGTATGTCACTTAGTATACATGCCGCCCAACGTAACACCGTTAATTTAACCGATGGTCCAGAATAAAATAAGACTCACCAAACTATACTATAGGAAGTTTATACTTTCGTCTGTCTTATCAAAGAATCCTGAAAACTTATCTGAAGCTTTAAAAAAAGTAACATTACGAGAAGCTGTTTTAGATTTACATATGGCCTGGAATGAACTTAACCAGCAAACTATTCAAAAATGTTGGAACAATCTCTTTTGTACCAATAATGAAGATGATGAAGAAGACGATGTCCCCTTAAGCGTAATTATAGAACGTTTGCGATCCAATAATGATAATGTTATTAGTGTGTCATTGGATGTTGTTGATTTATTGAAAACAGTGAATTCCAACATTGTTTGTACTCCTGCTGATATTAATTTATGGAACGAAGATAAGCAGACGAATAAATCAAATATTACATAAATCAAGTTCGCTAATGTAAACATTTCGATAATGTGAACCACACTTGGATTAACTTAGTTTACATTATCGAGCGTCAGCTGTAAAGATAAAACACATGCCAGTATTTGACATTTTATGCTTGTGCGATTCAATTGTTATTTCATGGCTAGGTAGATATCCTTTCTAGCGTCCCGTAACTACGACTTTATTTCAGTCTATCTAATTTCTTCTCAAATCTTTTTTGAGTTCACTACATGATCTGCATCATCATGTATCTTTACGATAAAATCCTCAAATGTAAGAATAGTTTATGTCTTTTATTAAATACCTCATATAAATGGTGCAACAACGATCAAGCTGCATGGCTCATTCAGAATCATGACATTACGAGATGTTGTTTTAATAACCGAATGCCGGATATACCGACAGATCATTTTTCTGAAAAACGAATATTTACATTAGTACATCAAACTATCGCAATGTGCGTGACTTCTAGCGATTTATTTGCGGACATTTACCCAATATCCTCTCAAATTGGAAAATTATGTAGAGATATATTTATACTGAGAAACGGAACAAACACTAGATGATTAACTTTTGGTATTTATCTTAATAGCAATTAAGGCGAGTTAACATTTGTTTTATAGTTTAATACTGTTGGCATTCGGCGTTACAGCATCGGCAAAAGTAATAAAGGTATGGTCTGAGCTATCATCCGTTGCGGTTTTTATCGGTGACCATATATCAACGGATTCTGCTCACATATTTGTTTTTGTACAAGAACGAATGGTATTCATGTCTTATACGGGGGACGAGTTATAGATTTATTTGTTATAAGAGTGTGAGAGAGATACGATGCAGTGGACCTTTCAAAGTTCTTCACATGATGAAATAAGTCCGTATTCGGAATATGCGTACAAATTCTGACAATTTGCCACGCTCTTTCTTTTTTTTTAATTAAAATCACTTTTTAATTTTAAGGTAAAGTTATTTCTCTCAATTGAGGCGTGGTTTAGCGTTGGTAAATTAGGCCCTATGCTCAGGTACACCGGAGAGTAGGGGGGGTATTTTTTTAGGGGAGCCACCAGCTTTTATCCGCCAAAACTGGAAGACGCCTTGGTATTGAAAAGCACTCTTTAGCCCAAAACCCCAAGAAACAAAAAGAAAAATACATATTATACAAACAATAGATTTTCTGTGTGGGTAAATAATTGCTAAAATTAACATCAATACATTTTATTGCATCTATTACATAGCCAATGAGAAAGCGTGTATTTCAGAGCTCCGAACAAGTGCAGGTGGCTACTGAAAATTGAAACAGTTTAGCCAGTGCCGTGTAGCGGTGAAACGTGTTTTCTTTAGTCTGTCCGTGTTTTTTCATAGATTTTATTAGTTTGTGTGTTTTTGACTTTTGAATACTCAGTTTACTTGTTGATTTAATTGTTGTGTTGATTGTTCTTGTGTGTCCTAAATATGGCTCTTTGGAGACCTTGGGAAAATGCTCCAAGCCACGAGGAGATGGTTGATGAACCTGTGCAGGCAGAATTCTTTCATAAAGATTTAGAGGAACAGACCCAAAGAGTAATCCTAAATATGTATGATTGTCTGAAAAACGAAAATCCAGATTCCTCGCAAAATCAAATTTTAAACAGAATTTGTATCCTGACAAAAATCAGTCGGTCTACCATTTATCGGGCTATAAAAAGGGGAGATGTAGTCAACCATTCCTTCCACAGAAAGCGCATAGGGCAAAAATTAAAAAGAATAGACGTGGGTTTTCAGGAAGATATTCGTCGTATAATATACGGATTTTATAAAGAAAATTTGGTACTCACGTTGGAAATGATACGGGATAAATTAAAAGATTATCCTGAAGATTTTTATAATTACAAATGCTTAGACTCGCTGCACTGTATTGTAAAACTGTGTGGTTTTCAATACAAAAAATTAGATAAAAGAATGGTGATTATGGAGTCGTCTCGAATCGTTGAATTGCGCCAAGAATTTTTGCACAAAGTTAAAATCTATAGAGAGCAGAAAAGAAATCTGATTTACCTGGATGAAACGTGGTATGATACCCATGATTTTGTGCAGTACGGCTGGGTTGACGACAGCAACAAGTGCATTTTAAATGCACCATGCAACCGTGGAAAACGAATCATTATTCTCCATGCTGGCAGTGAAAATGGATTTATACCTAATGCCTTGCTGTTATCTGCCAAAAATATCAAAGAATCATGTGCCGACTATCATGAGGACATGACCTCCGACTTATTTGAAAAGTGGATAGAGCAGCAGTTAATACCAAACATTTCCCCAAATTCAGTGATTATTATAGACAATGGGCCATACCATTCCCGACAGAAAAACAAAATTCCGAATACAGGCACAAAAAAACAAGACTTTATTGATTTTATGAAGGATAAGGGAATGGAAATACCACAAAAATCAACCAAAGCCATATTATTGGATCTTATTAAAAGACAAAAATTTGAAAAAGAGTATGTTGTTGACAATCTGCTTCAGCAAAATGGCCATGAAGTATTACGTCTACCTCCCTATTACTGCATTTTTAACCCGATTGAGTTGGTCTGGGCTGCTTTAAAAAAAAGTAAGAAAACATAATCAGACCCCTCAATTAAGTGAATCGCTATTGGCCACAATAAGAGATGCAGTATCTCATATTGCTGCCACAGACCTATGGAAGCAGTGTTCTAGGCATATTATTGAAAAAGAAAATGAATATTGTGTTTTGCCTCCTGTAAATCCCGTTGTAATTCCTCTACAAGATGACTCTAGCGACAGCTCCGAAGGCGAGGATGATATATAAATACCTATAATGTAAGTCTTTATATACCTTTTTATATACCTACCTGCTATGTAAATATTTGCCTATGTCAAACGCTGGAATTCTGTAATTTTTCCATTTCTTAAATTTCAGTCAACATAAATTAAACTCCCAATATAAGTATTTTTTATCCCAAATCAAAAAAATAAGAAGATAGTAAAATCCATTTATTGTGATATAAAAACATTATTATTATCGTTCTAAATAAATGACCGCACGCCTATGATACGTCATGAAATTACAAAGGACGCGCCGACCAAAGGTTTTTATGCTATTTCAAGTGACTTCAGATAAAGTATACCTCGACATCAGCGACATCAGCCTTTGACATTGGAAGATTTCAGAAAACAATAATAAATTCATCTGACTATAAAAGAAATACATAGTTCAATAGGTGAGTAATAAATATTTATGCAACACAAATAGCTTTTAATTCAGAAGGTGATATCAATTTATAGATGTACATTTATTTATTTTTAGCTCCGGAATGACAAACCGGATTGTTGTTGGGATGTAAACAAATCGCCGAGGCGAAAATTTCGAGATTGAATTGATTTCTTGACGGTGGAAGATCTAGCATGGGATGGAAGCAACCGAGTTATTTATGAAAATATGTGGAGATGAATACTAAAATTATTACTCATGGTGAACCAGGGAAATTACTAGGCAACACAAGAAGAAATTGTCCATATCAGGGTGAGTAAATTCTTCAATTAATTACCTGAATGCATGGAAAATTGACTACACATTTATAAACTTGGTGGTAGAAACTGTAAAGATGATCAAAATGGAGTGCGATTGCTGTACGTTAAATTTAATAATTAGAATTTTTGGATTATAAAATAGATCAGGGTGGATTATGTTTAATTGATTGAGAAATATTTGGTTTCAGTTCCCAAATTGTTCAGTGACATGGAACATGCTGACTACTATATACAGGCAGCCAAACGACTACCGAAGAAAAACAACGGATACAAATTAAAAATTATAGTTATTCCGTGGTATTCATGTGTTATGTTTGTTATTTCAATTATACATGATAATAGGTAAATGTCTGCGTGTTATTTATTTTGGTTATAAATTACGTGAGAAAAATATAGCTAAATACACCGTTAAAAACAAGCCCTATCTTGGGAAATGGCCAATGGGCCGGTCTAGTCTTTTTGTCAATAAAAATGATTTAATAATATGTTATGAATAAAAATAATATGCTACGGAGATTATTAGATTAGATCATCGGCTTTTGTTTCTTCCTTCTCAAGTTCTTGTTGCATTACTTCAAATTAAAGCTGTGCGACAACAACAACAAAAAAAAATATATGATTCATCGGCAATAAAAGGCAACTGTTACAAATGTCAATTTTTAAGTATAAAATTAATGTGGATCCAAGATAATATAACTATATTTAATATGAGTCTAAGAAATGTTCTCTTTTCAAAGAAACGTTGTTAATCCTTTTTTTGAACTGCATGCGGAAGTCAGGCGGGTCTGTCTGGCAGGCACATCGCGAGGCAGCATCATAGAGGAGAGCTCTGAAGAGCATTGCTCATTGGTGTAGTGGTAGAAGAGAGCTAGATCGCCGACGGCCCGCGTATAGAGTGACGAGGTCACGTGGAGAAAAGTATTTCTTAGCTCTAAACAAATAGCCTAAGCTAACTAAGCTCATATCATTCATTTTTCTAGATGACGGCATGTGACAGTCATTGATAGTCAGAAGCCACCTGTTGGAACTAAATGTATGGGTGTCTATCCAGCAATAAAGGGAAAATTTCGCAGGAAAAATGAATTCGGTGCGTTTAGATTGCACATTCACCAACTTTTCAAATTTTAAACGTTAAGAGGGTCAGATCGTATTTTTTGTTTCTTTGTATTAACTATTAATAATAATTTTCCATTTACAGATATTATGATGCCTTCGTACGACAAAACGTGTATTTATGTTGATAGAATAATATAATAATAAAGTTGTATAGAGAGAAGCTATCTTCAAAACCTGTAACACATAACAAATAACATTTTCGCGCCATAATTTATTATAGAAAAGGTTTGTCACAGGCATGTCTATATTCAATTTCTAAGTGTATTTCAGTATATGTGATATTCTGTCATGTTTGCCGAGGCCACAGATGAAAAGTAAACCTGATTTTTGAGTCTTTTCAATTCCTAAAGAGTCACCTTGATCTAGGCATAGTCCATAAACTGCATCCCAAAATTTGAAATGACTCAATACATCACATAACTTAACTGGTAGAGATTGGGGGGATAGGGATAGATTACGATCCACATGCCTACACTATTACGAGGGATGTCTTTTAAGTTTTGCATACAGAAACATAGTAGGCCCCGCGGATCGAACGTCAGTACTGAATCTTAACCTCACTCTTTAGTAAACTTAAATTCAAAGTTACCAAGTAAATTAATTATTTAAAACTAAAATGCTATTGGATAGTTAGAACAAACATACAAAATCTAAAGTAGTTGCTCGAAATGTAAACACAATTGTTCAATACACAATTCACATCTACGAATGATCGAACGTGGTATAGCATTATCCAAATAAGGCCTTAGTTCATCACATGCATTCCTGATTCTGTCTATTAGCATATTTCTTGTGGTTACGGGAGTCTGGTACACTTTTTCTTTTAGAAATCCCCACACAAAGAAATCTAATGGTTTTAGGTCAGGGGATCGTGGAGGCCAGGCGGCTGGTCCTCCACGGCCGATCCATCTTTCTGGATAATTTTCGTCCAGCCAGTTTCTAACTATTCTGAAATAATGAGCTGCACAACCATCAAGCTGGAACCAGACCAATCTTCTTAAATCTAACATAACATCATCCCACATATTTGCATGTTCAGCTTTTAAAAATTCCAAGAAGGTCACAGCATTTAACCTTGCAGGCAAAAGGTAGGGTCCAAATAGTCGATTACGGTAGATACCAATTCACACGTTCACACTAAATTCATGCTGAAAATTTCTTTCCCGAACTGCATGCGGATTTTCATGCGACCAAATATGTTGATTATGAAAATTTACCACTCCACGTCTAGTGAAGCATGACTCATCGGTTATAGAACGTTACTTAAATACTCCCTATTATTATTAGTTCTATCAAGAATCCACTGGCAAAATGTGATTCTTCGTTCTCCGTCCCCTGGCTGTAGTCCTTGCATAGGTTGCAAATGGTAAGGACGTCTATGGTCATTTCTAAGAACACGGTGAACATGGCTTGCTGAAATTCCCAAGGCACCAGAAACTCTCCTAACACTTGTGCTCGGATCTCTATCAAACTCACGCAGAATCATACGGGTAAATCTGCGCTGACGAACATTTATGTTTTGATCCCTTTGGAAATTTCCAAAACCATTTTCAATTACTTGGCAATGCACTCTTACAAATACTGAGCGAGTTGGATGTCGTCTGTTTGGAAATCTTCGTGGGTATTCTCTGGCTGCTTCCATTTACAAAGCCATACACAAAATGAATATCCGCCAACTCTTGATTGGAGAATAAAAATGGCATTTTTATAAAACTTACAAAAAAAAACAGGTAAAAGAAACTAAATTTCGTGCATTCACAATTGCAAAAAAACGTTTCAGGTTTCAACAGACAACAAAACTAACTGTCAACTAATAGATGTTTAACCTTATTCTGCTTTTTTCGATTTCAAAAATATTTGCAGGCACAGCCTACTTCTAAAAATTATCGAGATATTGACTTTTTAACGTTATTTTATCATCGAACCTTAAAAATCGAAATATCTCAAAAACGGCTAACTATAACGAAAATTTACAAGAGAGCTTTTTTATGTTGAAAAGTGCGAAGAATCGGTTTTTTTGTTCAAAAAGCAAAAAATTGCACTAAGAAAAATTTTTCGTTCATTTTAATACACTACAGGTACAGTAGAGAGCGCCCTCTAGCGGCTACAGTAAAACTATGCCCATGGTTCGTTTTGTCGTACCAAAAAACCCTTGTATACCCATTTTCACTGTTATACATCAAATATTGTTCAAAATATTTAAAAAAAACTATTTTAGAAAGTAAATTTAAACACCCTGTATTTCGGAAGCCACGCATTTTTCGACCCATGTTTATATAGACTTTATGCATTAATTTTAAAAGTTCTATCGAATCTTAAAGTTATGCAACAATAAACTGAAACACCCTGTATAGCGTGGCGTACAAGTGATTTTTGTAGGAAACGAAGGAAACAACCATCAGCATTTTACTGTTATAATATTCAAAGCAAGCAAATTTGATCAAAATAGCAAATCAATAATCAAAACTATGCTATAAAAGTCAATAACCAATACGCCGGAGATGAAAGCAATGTAAACACAAGTCAAATAATGACAATGTCTGTGAGTGATTACAATGTAACCAACTTTGATCGGGCCATATCCATACGAAACGGAATGGAAGCAGTAGGTGCATGCGAGCATAAACAGCAGCGACTCTTTCATGTGCTGGTGCATTCAGCTCGTCCCGTCTCGGCTCGTAAACCGCCCGAACGCGGCATCGCTCCAAACCGAACGAAAGTGTGAATTATGCGACCCAGCCATGCGGGGTGACGTTTATGAATCGCTGGGATCGTCACGCTTAAGCTTGCCCCTCCTCACCCTCTACCTACACGCTCATTTCTGGATTTTTTACGAAGCGGCAGTGCCTAAATTTCGGAATTCCGCGAGCTGATTCACTAAAACCGATTGAAAGAATAAAGATAAAGTACTCGCCAAGATCTTCACAGTCGATTCCCCGCCAATACGTAATGCATTTCCGCCATCTCTGCATTTGAATAATTCGCCATTATTAACAAGATTGTAAAAACTAAATAATGAAAAAGATGTCACAGCGAACAGATTTGAATAACAGAGATGTCAAGGGCCAGTGACATATTCCAGAGCAACTATTTATTGCTAAATTGCATTCTTCAATTATTACATTAATTTTCTCGGACAATAGAACGGTTTTTATTTTTTTACTCAAACATGGCGCATTGGAGGAAAACAATTCAAGAGAGATCATTTGTTTTAAATTGAACGGGGAATTCAAAAATAATTTTTATTTAGTAAAAAAGTATTGGCGTAGCATTTTTTTCTTAAGTAATATCGAAGTCAATACCCATACGCACGCCACTGTTAAAGCTAAAAGTTATTTTTGCATTGAGAAATATGCAACTTTATCAACTTTCACTACGTACTAAATATCAGTGAAATATCTGAAGCGGTTCTGAAAATATTAATTAAATTCCATTTTTTTCTTAAAACTTCAACACCTCGAGTTTATAAAGTAAACTAACATTAATTTTTGAGCTAGATTCACACCTTTAAATATTCGCATATCATTAAGGAACACCCTGTATATTGGATTATTTTCTCAAGAAGCGTAAAGCTTAATCATAACTCAGTCAGTCCCCAAAAAAAAAATCCAAAAACGATCCTAACAGTTACAGGTTAATAGCCATTTTCTGTAATTACCAATGGAAAAGTGAGTCTTTAGGCTTAAGTGGAAGACCAGTCATTTATCTGATAATGAAAATTGACATTCGCCCTTTCCAGGCATCAAATTTACATTATGCCTTTTTTAACTGAAGAAGAAGGTTTTATTAACATTAAATGACTCGTACATAATCGCTTGATTAGTGTCAGGCAGATTTCTGATGTAGAGATTCAACTAGCTTATACAATAACTGTGATACAAGATTATGCAGTCAGTGATTTAGGGTGAAGCTTAAGGGCGTACCCAACTCAAAACAGAAGGGGGGCAGCTTCGAAAAATGTTTGATTCCACAAATAGTATCTACTTTATTATGCTTGTTTTTTTTCTGTTTGGATTTCAATAACTGATCAATTTTCACAGGGTCTTTCTTCTACAAGCATTTGAGAAAAAAAAACTCAAATGAAAGAACGATTTTCAGATATCATTGTAGCTGATACATCTTTTTTGTGGCGTCTGTCAGGTAATCCTTCGCCCACCATGAGACAGAAAAATATTTATAGTTTTTGCTAATCATTAGCCGCTCTATAAGTTGGAAAGAATCACTGG